AAAAAAAAAACCCAAAAACAAACAAACAAAAAAAACCCCAAAAAAATCCAAAAAAAAAAAAAAAAAAAAAACCCCAAATCCCCAAAAAAAAACCAAAAAAAAACCCAAAAAAAAAAAAAAAACACAGCGTGGCCGTGCCCTACGAACCCCCTGAGGTACCCCAAAAAAAACCAAAAAATCCCCAAAAATCCCAAAAATAAAAAAACAACAGATCCAAAAAAAAATGCTCCCAAAAAAACCCAAATCCCCACAGAAACCCCAATAAAAACCCCAAAATCCCATCACAGACACAGCGTGGCCATGCCCTGTGAACCCCCTGAGGTACCCCAAAAACCCCAAAAAATCCCCAAAAATCCCCAAAATTTCCAAAAAAAAAACCAAATCCCAAAAAAATCCTCCCAAAAAACCCCAAATCCCCACAGAAATCCCCAATAAAAACCCCCAGATCCCAAATAAAACCTCAAAATCCCAAATAAAAACCCAAAAATCCCAAATAAAAACCCAAAAATCCCAAAACTCCCCCTCACATTTGTGGCCCTCTCATTCCCAGCTGGTTTTGGGATTTTTTGGGGGTTTTTTTTTTTGGGTGGTTTTGGGGTCCTTTTGGGTTGTTTTTTTAGGGTTTTTTGGGTTGTTTCAGGTTTTTTTGGGGGTGGTTTTGTGGTGATTTTGGGGTGGTTTTTTGGGTGATTTTGTAATCATTTTGGGGTGTTTTTGTGGTGGTTCTGGGGTTGTTTTTTGGGTGATTTTGTATAATTTTGGGCTGATTTGGGGCTGATTTTGGGGTGCTTTTGGATGATTTCAGGGTTTTTTTGGGGGTGTTTTTTAGGTGGTTTTGGGGTTTATTTCAGGGTTGTTTTTTGGGTGGTTTTGGGATAATTTTGGGGTGGTTTTGTGGTGATTTTGGGCTGGTTTTGGGCTGTTTTTTGAGGTGTGTTTTAGGTGGTTTTGAGATTTCTTTCAGGGTGGTTTTGGGTTGTTTTTTGGGGTGTTTTCTAGGTGGTTTTGGGTTTATTTCAGGGTTGTTTTTTAGGTGATTTTGGGCTGGTTTTGGGCTGATTTTTGGGTGGTTTTGTGGTGGTTTTGGGCTGTTTTTTCAGTATTTTGGGCAGGTTCTTGGGGTGTTTTTTAGGTGGTTTTGGGGTTTATTTCAGGGTGGTTTTGTGGTGATTTTGGGCTGGTTTTGGGTCGGTTTTGGGCTGTTTTTTAGGTGTTTTGGGCTGTTTTTCAGGCTGTTTTTTAGGTTGTTTTGGGGTTTATTTCAGGGTGGTTTTGTAGTGATTTTGGGCGGGTTTTGGGCTGATTTTTGGGTGGTTTTGTGGTGATTTTGGGCTGGTTTGGGGTCATTTTTGGGCTGTTTTTTGGGTATTTTGGGCTGTTTTTTTGGGCTGTTTTTTAGGTGGTTTTGTGGTGATTTTGGGCTGGTTTTGGGCTGATTTTTGGGTGGTTTTGTGGTGATTTTGGGCTGGTTTGGGGTCGTTTTTGGGCTGTTTTTTGGGGCTCTAACCCCTCTCCCCCGCTGCCAGGTGGGCTCGGAGTGCACCACGGTTCTCTACAACTTCATGTGCAACAGTTCCTGCATGGGGGGCATGAACCGCCGGCCCATCCTCACCATCCTCACCCTGGAGGGGCCAGGGTGAGCCAAAAAACCCCAAAACATCCCCAAAAAAACTCCAAAAATACCCCAAAACAGAGGAGCCATCACCCTAAAAACATGCGAGCTCTAACCCCAAAAAATTGGGGTGTTTACCCCAAAAAATTGGTTTTTTTTTGTTCAAAATTTTCTTTTTTTCTGCCATAAAATCTGGTTTTTCTGGGTCCGAAAATATGGCATTTGTCACTCTGGAATTTGGGTTCTTGCATCCCCAAAATTTAGGATCCCTCACCAAAAACAAGGGGGTTTTGCCCCAAAATCTTGGGTTTTTTGCCAAAAAAAATCAGGTTTTTTGCCCAAAAATGTGGGGATTTCTGCCCTATAATCCATTTATTCCGGCCATAAAAATGCAGAATCCTTTGGAAATATTTCAAGGGGGGTCCTAAATGGTTTTGGGGTGGATTTTGGGGTGTCCCCGGATGGATTTTGGGGTGGTTTTGGCTCATTTTGGGGTGGTTTTGGCTGATTTTGGGGTGATTTTGGCTGATTTTGGGGTCCCCAATCCCATTTTTAGGGGTCAGATCCTGGGCCGGCACTGTTTCGAGGTTCGGGTCTGCGCCGATTTTTGGGGTTCCTGGGTGGTTCTGGGAGGGGTTTTTGGGGTGTCCCCGGCTGGATTTTGGGGTGATTTTGGCTGATTCTGGGGTCCCCAATCCCATTTTTAGGGGTCAGATCCTGGGCCGGCGCTGTTTCGAGGTTCGGGTCTGCGCCTGATTTTGGGGATTTTGGGGTTCCTGGATGGTTCTGGGAGGGGTTTTTGGGGTGCCCCAGGTTTTGGGGTGTCCCCGGCTGGATTTTGGGGTGATTTTGGCTGATTTTGGGGTCCCCAATCCCGTTTTTAGGGGTCAGATCCTGGGCCGGCGCTGTTTCGAGGTTCGGGTCTGCGCCTGCCCCGGCCGCGATCGGCGCCACGAGGAGGAGACACAGCGCAAAGGGGGCGGGGCCGGGGGCGGGGCCAAGAGAGGTGAGGG